GCTTGAGCCACCGCGCCCGGCCCTATAATCTTTTTTTTTTTAATGAAACTTTATTTGGCCAAAAAAAGTAACAATAGGAAAAAAGTCAAGAAAGAATAGTAATCACAGTTCTACTTCTGAATTTTTACGTAGTATCCAATCTTCTCTGCTTCACTGAGGACACCCTTATACTAGAAAATTATTACTATTTCTCAAACAAAATAATGCATCCTTTTTGATGCAAGAGCTCTCTCTCACTGGTAATATATTACTAACAGAGAATTAGGATCATCTCCACAAACTAAGAAACTTAGTAGCCTTGACATCCTGTACCACATTTTATCAATGTCTGCTAACTGGTTAAAGCATTTTATATAAGTTCCTTACAAACTGTACATAAGCAGGAATAAGGTTATGTAAAACCCTAATCTGAAATCAATTAATTTCGATGAAAAACATTAAAGCCTAAATCAGTATTCATATTCAATAAATGTTTAATAGGAGTAACTCTAATCTTTATGATGAGCTTAGCAAGTTCTATTATTCTCTGGAAATAAACTGCTCACTCATGAGAGAAAAACGGTTCTTCTACAAACATTTAATGAATCCTTTTTTAAAAGCTTCTTGCCTACAATATTATTTTTACTAATAATGTCTGGAATGAGTATCAACACTGTAATTAATAGAGTGTTTAGATACAGCCCAAACTAAAGGCACTGAGATATGTTAAATGATCTTTCAACATCACTCTCAAATTAATATGCTATAATTCATTCTTATACTTGAAAAATTTAACTCCCAGAATAGAAACTAATTATAGTTTTGGGACTATCAATTAGCCTTACCAATACTAATCACTTCAAGTGATTAGGCATTCCACCTTAAAAAACAAAAGCAAACCCAAATAAACAAATTATCTTAAGCACTAATACATGTTTATATAACTCCCATTAAACTCAAAAGCAAAACCATACTAACTTATAATTTATAAAATTCCCTTAAATCATTTGATGTATTGACTTTTTATCTCCTCCAGGAGAGGATGTTAAAGTGGATACATCCTTAAGAGAAAACAACCTGCTACCATCTTCTACTTGGTATGTGCACTCTATTCAATTCCCATTCAAGTTCTGTAACATGTCTAGATTTTCTATATTGGTCCTATTTTCCATTAATTCACAAACAAAATACCCCAGAATGCCATTTTTATCAAGTGTTTCACTTGCACCAACTGTAAGACATCCAAAAATATATTAAATATAAATAATGGTATAGATTTTGAGGGTAACGTAAGATAAAGGTGTTCTGGTTAGTTTTAACAAAAATATAGCAAACAATTATCTACAAATGAGAAATTTTATTTGTATTCAAATTATATATAATATTCCATGCTGGATGGTCTATCATCCCAAAGAATGAAGAATACAGAAAATGAAATAAGGCGGCTTAGGTTCAAGTCCAAATAACTCTCTTAATTCAGCCTTCTGTCAGTGGAGAAGTGGAAATAATAATACTGCCAGAATTATATAATGTATAAGATTTCTATGACTGAATAAACTAATTTTAATGAAATTAATTTATATTCTATAAAGCATTAAATAAATGTCATCATATCAATATGTCAACATGAAACCTCAGAGCACCAGTGATAAAGAAAATAATTCAAAAAGTCTTAGAGAGAAAAAAGACACAAATGATTAGCAATCAGTATAATACTGGACTAATCAAGAGCACTATTTAAAACCAGAAGACAGTAGTTATATTTTCAAAATTATGATAGAAAATGATATTGAATTCAGAATTTTATACCTGGAAAAACTATTAATTTGAGAGTAAAGGTAAAATAAAGATATTATCAGACATAAAAGAAAATTTACCTCCCATACATCCTATTTAAGAAAGATATGAAAGGCTTTCAGTGAAATGAGTAAACTAAGGAAAATATATGAAAAATAAGGGCTCTACTGCAAAAAAAGCAAAGAAAATTTCCAGGATAATGCTAAATAGGCTCTAAGATGACAATTGTACAGTAGCCTAAAAAGGCTACGATACTTTCTTTGCAAAGGAAGAAATAATTGATTGTTTGATGTATTTCACTGTACTGTAAGAAGTTTTAGGGAGTTTTAGTAATAACACATAGAAAAGGAGCCAAATCATGCAGCGCCTTACAGACTACAGAAAAAATTCATCCTTTTTCTGCTTGTAATAGAAGCACTAGAGGATTTAGACAGAGGAATGAATGATTTGATTTACAATTTTCAAAGAATTATCTGGCTGCAATGTTGAGAGGTGACTGAGACAGGAGTAGAAATAAGATAGCCAAATCAGAAAGGTATAGCAGAAGTTGAGATCAGAGTCTGTCCAATATGGTATTCTTTAGCCCCATGTAGTTATTAAGCACTTGAAATGTGGCTCATCTGAATTGAAATGCGCTTTAAGTATAAAATACACACCAGATTTTGAAGTTAGCAGAAGAGAAAAGTAGTAAAATATCTCAATAATTCTTAACATTTATTACATGTTGAAATGATAATACTTTAGATACATTGGTTTAGATGGCATATATGATTAAAATTAACTTTACCTGTTTCTTTTTTAATGTAGCAATTATAAAATTTTAAATTGCAAATGTGGTTCCCATTACATTTCTATTTGACAGTGCTGATCTAGATGGTGACAGACTAGAATTTTTAAAAGGTGGAAGTGGTAAAAAGTACTGAATTCAGGATATACTTTGAAAGTAGAGCCTACATAAGTTGTTGGCTGAATAAATGTGAGGTGTAAGGAAAGGAAAGAAATCATAATTATTCCAAAAATTTTGTTCTCAGAAATTTGCTAAACGGTGGTGAAATATACTATGATAAGGAAATCTAGGATGAAATCCAAAGTTGCTTCAGGATCTGACACCTGAGCTACCCTGTTGAATATCCCAACAGACATGTCAAGTTCTAGTCTCAGCATTCACAAATAAAGGGTGTACCATTCATAATGAGTACAAGCCAATGGCACCCCCAGAGTTATGTAGTGTTCAGCCTGAAAAGTTGTGTCTGACAACTTCAAGTTAAGTATTCTCTAGATAGTGTATACTCAACAAATATTGTTAATTGTCAGAACATAATGCAGGCATATAAATTTGATTCATGTGTAATGCTAGATTCTGCTACTAAAAACATTTAAGAAAACATAGTAATTAGGACTTCAAATGTTTTAACCTAACAGCCCAGGAATCAAATCCTATCACCACCACACTAAGGTGTGATGCTCAGCAAAAAAATGTTTAACCTCTCGGCTAGGCACAGTGGCTCACGCCTGTAACCCCAGCACTGTATGAGGCCAAGGCGGGCAGATCATGATGTCAGTAGATTGAGACCATTCAGGCCAACATGGTGAAACCCCACCTCTACTAAAAATACAAAAATTAGCTGGGATGGTGGTGGGCACCTGTAATCCCAGCTACTGGGATGCTGAGGCAGGAGAACTGCTTGACCGCAGGAGGTAGAGGTTGCAGTGAGCCGAGATCGTACCATTGCAGTCCAACCTGGCAACAGAGCGAGACTCCACCTAAAAAAAAAAAGTTTAACCTCTCTAGCCTTCTGTTTACTCACCTCTAAAGTAAAGGTATAATTTATCTCAAATAATGAGGATTAAGTAAGACCAAATAAGATAATGCATGTAAGGTAATTATATGCATTAATATAAATTAATATAAATATAAATATTATACCTAACACACCGAAAGCCTTAATATGTGACAACTATTAATAAAATTGTTCAGTAAGAGACAGAGTAAGTAACAAAACTATATAAAGATTTTTGGAGAGTTTTATTCTGGGTATACTTTAATATTTTAGAACATACAATATCTTATATTAGAATTCTCCAAATTAAAATCTCTTACCTGTAAGTAGTGTTTGGGACATAAACATCCCTTGCAGGAAACTCTAAAATTTCTCTGGTAGGTCTAACTCTACTGTCAGGGTAAAGCTTCACTTGAAGTAGCTCTGGAGTTAGGCAATAATGGGGATTTTCAGGTGCGGGAGAAATGTCTATCTTGAGCTGAGCTGCAAATTAAAATATATTAAAAATCAGTGTAAACAAAATTTTAAAACTCCATGTTAAACATGTTTTTGAAAGGACTTAGATCCAATTTTTGCAAGAAGCCTGGGAAGAATACTACAGAAACCAAATTCCTATTATCATCTCAGGCCTCTAAATCATTTCATTTTGCAAAGTCTCAAACTTAAAAATTACTGATCCAGACATAAATGCATGTAAAATAATAAATGCTTATTAAATAAATGAATGGGAATGAAGGAAGGAAGAAGCAAAAAATAGAAAAAAAAAACAGAGAGGGATCTGGCATACAAACAAGCTAACATTTCAAAGGTTAAATGACTTACAAAACTTCAAGACATTTTTACTATGGAATGGTTTGCTCCAACCATAATGGGAAGTCTATTTTTAATACTTACCCTTCTAGAAAATAATTGTAAGCCGTGATATTATTCATCACACTCACTTTAGTACAGTTATTCCCCCCAATTACCCACAGGGGATATATTTTAAGACCCCCCTCCCCGCAGTGGATGCCTGAAACTGCAGATAGTACTCAACCTTACAGATGCCGTTTTTCCCTATACATACCTGCCTACAATAAAGTTAAATTTATAAATTAGGCAAAGAGATTAATAACCTTAACTCATAATAAAATAGAGCAATTATAACAATATACTATAATAACTGTTAATATGAACGTAGTCTCCCTCTCTCAAAATATCTTAGTATTTTCACACCGTGGTTGACTATAGGTAACTGAAACTAAGGAAAGCAAAACAACAGGTAAGGGGGGACTACTGTACTCAAGTACCAAAGATGCTAAATCCTGCATCAAAACTGTCAGATCATGTGATAGTTAATAAAGTGAAGAAGACTGACAGGCATTGAGCATAGAAAAATGTCTGGGCCAGATAAATTTTAAAAAAAGGAATACATAATTGTAATACAACATATTAGTGATAATAATAGTTGCAATCATTTCTACTCAAAATTTTTAAATACCTGTAATAGGTCTTAGTCGCCGTAAGACAGAAGACGGCCTTCTCATATCAGCAAGGAATTTGTAGAGATCTTCATCACTTAAGCGGTCTCCTTCCTGATTTCAATGATAGAGGAAAAAGTATTTGATAAAACAAATTATAGCCAGGCGTGGTGGCTCACGCCTGTAATCTTAGCATTTTGGGAAGCCAAGGCAGGTGGATCATCTGAGGTCGGGAGTTCAAAACCAGCCTGACCAACATGGTGAAACCCTGTCTCTACTAAAAATACAAAATATTAGCTAGGCATGGTGGCGGGTGCCTGTAATCCCAGCTACTCAAGAGGCTGAGGCAGGAGAATTGCTTGAACCCAGGAGGCAGAGGTTGCAGTGAGCCAAGATCATGCCACTGCACTCTAGCCAGAGTGACAGTGCAAAACTCCGTCTCAAAAAAAAAAATTAAATTAAAATAATTGTGATTATAAATATATTATACCAGTTTATTTCCTTTTTTATGCTTTCAAATTTTACTAAGATTTTTTCTTATTTATAGTCCATTATCTATGCCTATAAAGTATTACAAAATACCCTATATTTTTTCTTATTTATAGTCCATTATCTATGCCTGCAAAGTATTACAAAATACTCTCAAATAAAGAAAACCAATACAAGTTAGAGACAGATGAAAAGCAGAAGAGAAAAATAAGAATACAGACATAGAATCAAAAAGCAAACTAATATAAATATATTTGAGTCTCGTAAATTTATTACACTTGAGTGCATATTTCTTTTCAACTTTATATCACAAGTTTCTCCAATACAAAGTCTGCAGCACTGGCTAAGCTGAGGAAGAAGAAGAGGGAAGAAAGAAGGGAGAGAGAGGAAGAAGAAGAGAGATAGAGGAGTAAGAGGAGGGAATGAGGGGGAGGAGGAGAAGGGAAAACTACTGTTAAGGAAAATCACAACTACCCTGATACTAAGGTCAGAAAGAAAACTCCAAAAGGACTTTAACCAATATGAAAAAAAATAAAAAAAAAAAAAAAAAAAAAAATTACCCATATCTGATTAACACAAAATGTTCAATTTAATGTTAATATTTTTCTTCTTATAATTAAAATAGGGTTGATTTTATTCTTTTATTGAAGAGTCTTTAGATTTTATTAATCCCATCTTCTTGCTTTGACATTTTATTGTTTTATGCATATTTCGTATATTGTCCTTTTATCTTATTTGGTAATGAACATATTTAAGGCTACTTTATTACTGTCAGCTCACCTTGAGCCACATCCCATTCGTTCATCATTATATTCTAAACAAGGATACAGAATTGATCTTATTTATCTCATTATTTAGAAAAAATAAATTTTAATTTCTAAGTGGTTATAGTTTTTTATTAATAACTTAAAAATAGTTTTTAGTTTTATTGAGTTATTAGAAAATTTGACTTTAAAAGGTTTTGTCAGTGACCCAAAATAATTACTGTAAATGTTCCATCTGTTGCTGAAAAACTGTATTCTTTCCTTGTGCATACAGAAATAACATAAATTTTTTTGAGACCAAGTTGCCATACATGAAATATCGATCTTTAAATGGTCTTTATTCATAATATATTCAGATTGTCTCTAGTCCTCATTATTTTGATTTCACCCATTAAATTATATTTTCTCTTTCAGAACTTAAATTATATCATTGGTCTCCCTTCTTTACTCCCTGTTTCCATGCCCTTTTGGTGAGTGAGGCACAATTCCCTCCCTAGGCTTGGCCACGTGCCTTGCTTTGCCAATAAGCAAACATGATGCAAACAGAGACTTCAAAAGCATTTGCACAATTTAGTTTGCCCTCTTTCTTGAACTTTTGTCACATCTATGAGAACATGACCAAGCTAGCCTGCTAAAAGATGAGAGGAGAATTTGACAGACATGTCACAGAGCTGAGTCATTTGTCTTCCCAGTAAAAGTCAGCCTATGTTAGCTGATCCCAGCCAACCTCCAAACTTGTGAATGAGCCTAGTTCACTGGAGCAGTCTAACTGATACCCTTACCTCTACATTGCTTGTTTATTGTCCTGTATCCCTGAAGAAATAGACAACTTATATATCTGTCAACAAATAGAACAAATGTCTTCAAAACTATTATGTGGGTTTGACTTTGTTTTTAAATATCTATATATTTCTAATAATTTTGACTTCACACATTTTATTTCGAAACGAGGTCTTACTTTGTCACCCAGGCTGGAGTGCAATGGCATTATCATTGCTCACTGCAGCCTCAATCTCCTGGGCTCAAGCAATTCTACGCCCTCAGCCTCCCAAGTAGCTGGGACTAAAGGTATGCACCAACATGCCCAGCTAATTTATTTTTTTACTTTTATAGAAACAAGATCTTACCATGTTGCCCAGGCTGGTCTCGAACACCTGGGCTCAAGTGACCCCCACCCCGCCTTTGCCTCCCCAAGTGCCGGGATTACAGGCATGAGCCAGCACGCCTGACAAACGCATTTTAAATCTGTACATAAACGCTAATGATTACTATATCCCTACTATAGACAGTAATGTCTCATAAACTGAAAAAGAAAAAACTGTCTTCTGTGTCTCATTCAGGGAAAATCTGTACCTTGAATTATTCTTAATTAAAATGGTTATCTCTTTTCAAATTTAATTTGCATTTGCCTGATGCATAATTTTCTAGCTATTTAAAAATATTTATAAAAATAGTACATGCTCATGGTTTAAAAAAATTAATACAGAACTGTATTAAACATTTTCTGTATTATAAACATTTTCCACTGCTCCATGTTTCCAGCAATCACTTATTTTTAAGTTCTCATAAGCACTTTGTGCTACTTCCCAGTTATAATAACAGTATTCAAAACAGTGTCCAGACATGATGATGAATGCTCAAAAAATATTTGTTGGATAAACAGATAACGGTAGATAGCTTATTGATCTAAGCTTACAACATCAATTTATTGATAAATAGCAGGCTGAAGAAATGAAAAGAAAGCTGTGGAAATAGCAGCAGAAGTGGTGTAGCAGCTGAAGAAGTAGAAAGAGGGGGAAGTAACATACCTGCAAGGTTGTGTCACTGTAGCAAAGCTACTGCCCCATTTCCATAGCTATAACTGGTCTAACACTTTATGTAAATATAGCCTTCTCTAGACTCTCTTTTACTACTGTCCATAATAAAGAGAGCAATACCACTTGAGATATTTATCACTGGCTTTTTTTCCCATGAGTCTCCGAGAGCAGCTAGCTATGAATACTACTGATATGTAAAGTGAAGGAGGCTTCAAGTAGATTGCTACCTGTATATTCAAAGTCCATTCAGTTGAGGTCTACCCTCAATTCTTGCCCTCTCAAGTTATGAGATATAAGTAAACCAGCATTTCCTCTTCTTACTTAGAATAACATCTCAGAAAAAGGAATTTTGAAGGAATTATTAGCATTTTTCCTTAATCCACTCCAAAACATATACTACTCCAGTTTGTTACGCTAATACAAATTTTCTCCCCATTCCTATGTAGTTCTAGTCACCTAGTCACTTACAACAGAGACTTTCAAAATTTTCTGATCATTTACAACATGAACTTTCAAAATTTTCTGATATTGATTCATGATATAAAATCCATTTTACATCAAAATTTAGTAAATACATAAACACATATGTGCACTCATACAAAAGGGGGAGGGGGAAACAACTCCCTGAAGCAATATTTAGCCTTACTACATGCAATGCACTATTTTTTCAATTCTACTCATGTTTTCTTTTTTTGTTTTTTAACTGGGTGTTATCTACTAAGCCGATTTTCATTACTAAGAATCATGACTGGCATAGGAAAAATACAGATTTGACTTGTAATTAAAGTGAAGGGAACAGGTTTGCAAAGAATAAATTATATTTGATAGAGAACATCTTGGATCTATACATTCATCTCTAAAAGTAACACTGACCTCACTTTAGCACAAAACGCACTACTAGGGCCTGAAAGTTCTATTTCATATGTTATGAATATGGTAGTTCAGGCCAGAAATCCTTGTGTGGGGAAGACATGCAAGCCACAGACTCATTTTCATAAAGAAAATTCATAAACAACCAATGTTTAAGAAAAGTTACACTATTAACAATTGAGAAATAGGATACAGGCTGGACACAGTAGCTCATGCCTGTAATCCCAGCATTCTGGGAGGCAGAGGCGGGTGGATCACCTGAAGCTGGGAGTTCAAGACCAGCCTGGCCAACATGGCGAAACCCTGTCTCTACTAAAAAATACAAAAATTAGCCAGGCATGATGGCAGGTGCCTGCAATCCCAGCTACTCAAGAGGCTGAGGCAGGGAGAATTGCTTGAACCTGGGAGGCAGAGGTTGCAGTGAACCAAGATTGTTCCACCGCATGCCAGCCTGGGCAACAGAGCAAGACTCTGTCTCAAATAAAAAAAAAAAAAAAAAAAATAGGATACAGGTATGAAAGATGGATTTTGAGGCATTATTAGTCATGGTCAACATTTAAATAAATATAATGCTAAAATAACAGAAACAATAAAAATTATTTCTCATTCTTAGTAGTTATTTTTATTCTTAAAGCTTTTAAGTTTCTTGGAATCGCCCTCATGTACATGTACAATACAATTACTACCTTTCTGAAACTAAAAAAACTTATGCACAAACATCTCCCCAAAATTCCTACATGACAGAACAATACCTGCTTAAAAAAATTTGTCACTGTGAGAGTAGCTGGTCGAAAACTTGTCAAGTTACAAGCATCATCTCCACTCGTTGTCCTTTCAAGTGATCGTCTGCCAACAATACTAGAATTCCTCCTCTCTGACCAAGACCCTTTTCGTTCTACAAAAGAATTTTAGAAATACATTCATTTTCATAAAATTTAAATTTTGTTTTAAAGTAGCTTTCCAAACACAAGGAAGAATCTACTAAATTGAAAATCACGTACTCAGCATATCAATTATAGTAGGAGAATTTTGCTTTTTGAGAGTTTGGTAACAAAGTATCTAAATCTTCTTGTTTTCTTTTTACAACATCACAAGTGTAAAAGTAAGTTTGTAACATGCAAAGATCTATGGGTATGATCAAAGATGAGCCATGAAGAGCAGCTACAGAGGAAGTATGCATTTACTACAAAATATTTACCACAAGGGAAATTTTAGTCATCATTAATCGTCCCTCAGTCTTAGCTCTTCAGTTTGAAAGAAAATTGTAAGATCACTTGTATTCAAACTACTTGCAAGATAATCCTATTATTTAAAACACACAGAACTAGACTGAAGATTAATAAGGAAATAGAAGACTTGACAAAATTATAAACAAACTAGACATAATGGACATTTACACTACACTACACTATGCAAGAGCAGAATATACATTCTTCTCAAGCACTTACAGAATATTCTCTAAAACAGTCTATATAGTAAGCCATAAAACAAAATACAATAATTCAAAGAGGTTACAATCACATGAAATATGTTCTTCAACAACAGAAGAATTAAACTATAAATCAATAACAGAAGAAAATTTAGGGGATTTACAAATGTTTGTAAGTGTAATTCCACATTTAAAAATAGCTAATGGGAAAAGAAGAAATAGGAGAAATTAGCAAGTATTTAAGATGTATGAAAATGCAAAAACAACATACCAAAGCACTGCTAAAGCAGTGCTTAGGGGGAAGACTTCCAGCTATAAATGTCTATATTTAAAAGAACAATCTCAAATCAGTAATATAACCTCAGACTTCAACAAACTACAAAAGGAGAGAAACTAAATCCAAAGCCAAGAGAAGGCTACAAAAGAGACAACTGCAGACTGAAAATAAGGGAAATAGAAACTATAAAAGCCATACAGAAAAATCAATTAAACCAAAAACTGTTTCTTCAAAAAGATAAAGCAAAACCTTTAGCTAAAATGATGAATCAAAAAGAAAAGACTCAAATTACTAAAATCAGAAATGAAAGAAGAGATATCATTTATAGGCTTTACCAAGTAAAAGGAATATACAGCAATACTATGAACAACTAGGTCAACACTTAGATTAGATACCAACTAGATAACTTTGATGAAATGGACAAATTTCTAGAAAGACATAAAGTATTTAATACTAAAACTGACTTAAGATGAAAGAGAAAATGTGAATAGACCTAAAACAAGTAAAGGATCGAATTAGTAATGAAAAAACTTACCACAAAGAAAAGACCAGGCCATGACAGATTCACTGGTGAATTCTTCCAAACTTTCAAAGAATTAATACCAATCCTTCAAAAACTCTTCCAAAAAACGGAAGGAACACTTCACAACTCATTCTATGAGGCCAGTATTACCCTGATACCAAAACCAGACAGAGGCATCAAAAGAAAGAAAATCTACAGACCAATATACCTTATGAATATAGATGCAAAAATCCTAAACAAAATGCTAGTAAACAGACTCCAACACACATAAAAAAGATTACATGCCATGACCAAGCAGGACTTTTCCCAGGAATTTAAAGTTAATTTAACATCCAAAACCAATCATTTGATGCAACACCACATTAAAAGGATACAGAACAAGTAATTTTAATAGAGGCAGAAAAAGTATTTTAGAAAATCCAACAAACTTTTATGATAAAAACACTTTAAAAAATTAGGAATAGAAGAAAACTTCCTCAATCTACCATAATACATCTTTGAAAAGCCAACAGCAAATATCATATTTGATGACGGAAGACTGAATGCAGTTTCCCTAAAGTCAAAAACAAGACAAGGATATCCATTCTTGTCATTTCTATTTAACATTTTAGAAGAGGTTCTAATAAAGACAGAAAAGAAAAACAAATAAAAGATACCAAGGCTGAAAAAGAAAAGTGAATCTCTTTTTATTTGCAGGTGACATGATTTTGTATACAGAAAATCCTAAAAAATCTGGGGAAAAAAATGAACAGTAGCAATTGGAATTTAGTAAACAAATTCAAAAAGGTTTCAAAGTACAAGATCATATACAAAAGTCAATTTTATTTCTATACATGAGAAATGGACATTTTAAAGACAAAATTAAGAAAACAATTCCATTTAAAATATTATCAAAAATGACAAAATTCTAGGGTATAAATTTAACAAGAGAAGCACTTGTACACTGAAAATGACACAACACTGAAAAAATTGAAAAATATTTAAATAAATGAAAAAAAAATCCATGTTCATAGATTCGAAGATTTAAAACTGTTAAAATTCAATCTATAAATTGACTTAGAGATTCAATGTCAGCCATATCAAAATCCCAGCTGTCTTTGTGTACAAACGGACAGTTGGTCCCAAATCTATATTAAAATAAAAGAAACTTAAAATTGCCAAAACAAATCTTGAAACAGGATAAAAGTTGGAAGACTCATGCTTCTCAATTTCAAAACTTACTTTAAAAGAAAAGTAATATGGTATAGCAGCAGTCCCCAACCTTTCTGGCACCAAAGGACTGGTTTCATGGAAGACAATTTTTCCACAGATGGGGGTGGGTGGATCATTTCAGGATGATTCAAGCACATTACATTTATCATTAGTGTCACATAAGGTGCATACAACCTAGATCCCTTGCATGCACAGCTCACAATAGGGTTCAAACTCCTACCAGAATCTAACGCCACAGCTGATCTGAGAGGAGGCATTGCTCAGGTGGTAATGCTTGTTTAGCCACCACTCACCTCCTGCTCTATGGCCCAGATCCCAACAGGCCACAGACAGGTATCTGTCTGCCACCTGGGGGTTAGGAACCCCTGCAGTACAGCACTGGTATATGGATCAATGGAATAGGATTGAGAGTCCAGAAAAAAAACTGACACATGAATGGTCAATTGACTTTCAATAAGGGATCTAAGACAATTACATAGGAAAAGAATACCCTTTTTAATAAATGGTGCTGAAACAACTGGATATCCACATAAAAAGAATGAAATTGGATCCCTACCTCAAAACATACAAATCTTAACTCGAAATGAATTATAAACCTAAATGTAACAGCTAAAACTACAAAACTCTTACAAGAATACATACAAGTAAATTTTGATTTGTATTATATCATGATTTCTTAGATAAAACACCAAAAGCACAGTGACAAAAGAAAAAAAATTGAAAATGTAACTTCATCAAAATTTAAAACTTCTGTGCTACAAACAATACCATCAAGAAAAGCACACTCACAAACTAGGAGAAAATATTTGCTATCATATATTAGGTAAGGGATTTGCATCCTGAAAATATAAAGAACTCATATAACTCAATGCTAAGAAGGTTAAATCCCATTTAAATATTAGGCATCAACTATTAATAAATAATAAAAGACCAAAAAGCCACTAAAAATGAGCAAAGGTTAAAAATACCTATTTCTCCAAGAAAGAGACACAAATAGCCAATACACACAAAATGATGCTTAATATCACTCGCTATTAAGATAAATCCAAACTACAATGAGTACCACTTCACCTGCACTACAATGACCATAATCAAAGAACAGATCATGTATTGAATTGGTAAAGATATGATGAAACTGGAACCTTCACACACTAGTGGAACAACAGCAGAATCTTTGAAGGTACAGCCAAACTGGAAAACAGTGTGGCAGTCCTTCAAAAGATTAAGCACAGAATTACCATATGACCAGTAATTTCACTCCTAGCTATATAGCTATTGAAAAAAAATAAGCCCACACAAAAGCTTGTGCATGAAGTTTCAGCACTATGAAACATTATTCATAATAAACTAAAAGTAGAAAACAACCCAAATCAACTGATAAATATTAACACAACAATCATTTGGCAAGAAAAAGAAATAATACCAATACATGCTACAACATGGATGAATTTGAAAAATATTATAAGTGAAAGAAGCTAGCCACAGAAGGCTACATATTATGTACATAGTCTGAAATTTGTATGAAATGTCTTGCACAGGCAAATCTACAGAGACAGAATATATATTAAAGGTTGTTTACGAACAGGTTGGAAGACTCTGGGGGAATGAGGAGTGACTATTGCTAATGGGTACAAAAGTGTTCCAAGACGGGTACAGAAATGTTCTGTGGTAGTGGTTGCAGAATGCTATTAATATACCAAGAAAACACTGTACAGTAAGTCCTCATTTAACATCATGAATCGGTTCTTAGAAACTGTGACTTTAAGCAACACGTTGTATAACAAATCAATTTTACCATATGTTTATTGATATAAGCAAGAGTTAAGTTCCTACAGCACATTTCTGGTCACAAAAACTTCATCAAACTTCTAAACAAATACTCAAGACACTTCTAATATTAAACATTTGAATAAATGTGCACTATACATACGTTTAAGAAAGATTAATAAAAATAAGTAAGATAATTATTTACCCAGTTATCCCAGTTCAGGGTCACAAGTGGCCGAAGCCTGTTCCAGCAGCTCAGAAAAGAAGGCAGTATATGGCAAATGCACCTGACAGAAATAACTTAAGCAAACACTGAGAATGACCCTATGGTCTAAAAAGAATGTGTGTTCAGAGTTCCAGGCTAAGGAACCTGGGAATGGCCAAACTTGAAGATTCATTCCTTATCCATGAGGATAAGGACATCTGAACCCCTATCCCATCTAGTGAAATCCAGGCCATACACGAAATCCAAGCCCTTTGTTTTGGGTTAAATGAGGGTTTCCAGGTGGGGGTTGCTAGCGGGAGGATGCTAAGTGAAAATGCTATGTAAACTGCATGCTTTTTCAAGTGGCTGTGGCTCTCCTGTCCAGCTCACCACTATGTATGTAAGTTCCCTCAGTAAACCCTATGTCTCATTCTCTGGTTCCACGTCTCTTCTTCGGCCTCTCTAATATGGTGCTATGCATACTGAAGTCAACCGGGGTCCAGCATAACAGACAGGAACCTGTCCTGGACAGGACACTATTCCATCACAGGTGCACTCATACACACACACACCCACATTACCTTACATTGCTACCACTTAAAAATGCCAATTCAGTTCATGTGCACAGCTTTAGGATGTGGGAGGAAACAAGTACCCAAAAAAATCCCACACAGACATGGGGAGAACATGCAAACTCTACACAGACAGTAGCTCCAGCCGAGAATCAATTCTTTTCCTCATCACATTGTAAAAAATCAAAAACAAAATGAGATATTTGAAGACTTGCTGTATTGTACAATTCAAATGGGTGACTTACATGGTATGTGAATTATATCTTAATAATGGTGTTAAAAAAAAAAAAAAAAAAAAAAAAAAAAAAAAAAAAGAAAATCCTTTTGATGCAATATTACATTGCAGAGTATGCAAATGAAACAAGCCTATATTTAAAAAAAGAGGCGGGGTGTGGTGCTCACGCCTATAATCCCAGCACTTTGGGAGGCCAAGGTGGGCAGATCACTTGAGGTCAAGAGTTCGAAACCAATCTGGCCAACATGGTGAAACCCCATCTCTACTAAAAATACAAAAATTAGCCAGGCGTGGTGGCGCACACCTGTAATCTCAGCTACGCAGGAGGCTGAGGCAGGAGAATCCTTGAATCCCGGTGCCAGAGGTTGCAGTGAGCCGAGATCGCACCACTGCACTCCAGCCTAGACCACAGAGGGAGGATTCATCTCAAAAAAAAAAAAAAAAAAAAAAAAAAAAAAAAAAAAAAAAAAAAAAAAAAAAAAAAAAGAAAAAAGTATACATTTAGAAATGTTTTGTATAAAATACTCTTACCTCCAGTACTGATTTCTACTTCTGTAGAATCTCTTTCCAAACTCCCAGCACTGCTAACAATATTCATTAAATGGATTGCAGTCCAAGCAAAAGGCATGCGATATTTCCCAAGTCTTTGGCAAAACTGATCTGCTTGACTCTTCAGTTTCTCCAGTTTTTCCTTATTCTGCAAAACAGAGCTTTATACATTATATGATTACACTTGAAAGAAATCAATTCAAGGCTGTTTCATACTACATAAAGAAACAGGATGAGAGGTCTCAATTCTCGGCAAAGATGAAAAACCAATCTGTACCTTACAGAGATCAAGTATTAGTGTAATATCTTAACCAGTGAACAAACTCAACACATTCTACAAATGTACTTGCAGAGCAGGTCTTTGAAATTTCTGTTCGTGATTATGTTATTCTGGGGAGAAGAGAGCAAGTACCAAACATGTATTATGTATTGCAAGTATTATTTAAGGAAGGAAGCATAACTATGGTCTAGTCAGCAACTGGTAACTACAAAATATTCCAGGTTATAATTTGTTAAATTTTGTTACTCTATAAAAGATGGAAGTAGCTGAGCAAATTTAAAATAGTTCCTAACTTATAACAACCATGAGGTAATAAGAGTGGAGAAGCACAAACAGGCCAATGATAAACAAGCTCAGAGTTGTAAAAAAAAGAAGGAAAGTAAAAAGTTTTAGAAGAAGACTAAACACTGGAAAAAGACTAATGGTCCAAATATTCAATAGTACAAGCATATCTGGAAGACATCTTGAGGCTGGCTCAACTTTTAGGCTGCTCCTGAAACAAACATAAAGGTGTCCTGCAAAAGCCAATCAACACTCTAAGACTGAAAACCTATACCACCTCTCATATGCTCTTTGCAGATGGGATGCTGGTGAAGTATACACTAATGACAGTGTCCTACCTTGGTATTCAGGGCTAGAAAAAAATGGAACAATAACTAAATAGCACTATTTATTACTAACTCTATTATATCTCTAAAACTGTTTTTGTTTTAAGTATACCTCAAGTATACTTAATTGTATCAGTTTATGTAAATATGTAAGTAAAGAGTGGAATAAGCTGCTAGTATATTTAAGAGCACCATGTAACAGACCAAATTTAATTTGTAAAATGACAACCTGGGGACAGCCAGAATACTATACTTCAACCATGAGTTCAGCCAGGTAATCAAGGATCAAGAAAAAAAATATGTCTCAGATCTACAGAAAAAGCTCACTTCTTAATAATTTGCTATTCTTAATGATTTGCTATCATTAAGATGTTCTGAATCCTGGGAAAATAGCAAAACATTTTCTGGGATTGGGCAGGTCGCCCAGTATTCCTCAAGCATACTTATCCCAGAAGTTCCACTATTAAATCTTTTGTTCAAAGATCCAAAGATCACTTGCATTCTTGTAGCTAACCCAGAGTATCTGAAATTTATTATCAATTATTCAACAATTTTTTTGTTTTTATAAGTTTATACACATTCTAGAAACTGGGCTGGTGTGGTGGTTCATACCTGTAATTTCACCACTTTGGAAGGCTGAGGCAGGTGGATTACTTGAGTTCAGGAGTTGGAGACCAGCCCGGCCAATATGGTGAAAATACGTCTCTACTAAAAATACAAAAAGTAGCTGGGTGTGGTGGTGCACGCCTGTAATCCTAGCTACTTGGGAGGCTGTGGCAGGAGAACAGCTTGAACCCAGGAGGCAGAGGTTGCAATGAGCCAAGATCACGGCACTGGACTCCGGCCTGAGCAATAAAGAAAGATTTCGTCTCAAAAGAAAAAAGAATCTAAAAATTAGCCATCTGATGGCAAAAAAAAAAAAAAAAAGCTGGATTTTCTTTTATTAAGACTACTATTTTATATTTTTACTCTATTCCTTAATAATCTGCAGTCAGATGGAAGCCAAGAATACCTCTATTTTGCTAGGAAAAGTTCTATCAATATCACTATTTTGCAAATAAAGAAAACCTTTCATTATTTAGGAGTTAAACTGAATTTTCTCCACAAAGAAAAAAATTTAAATCAGCTAGTTTTGAGAAAGAGGAGATTTTTTTTCCTTTTTTTTTTTTTTTTTTTGAGACAGAGTCTTGCTCTTGTTACCCAGGCTGAAGTACAACGGCATGATCTCAGCTCACTGCAACCTCTGCCTCCAGGGTTCAAGCAATTCTCCTGTCTCAGCTTCCTGAGAAGCTGGGATTACAGGCGCCTGCTACCACGGTTGGTTAATTTTTATATTTTTAGTAAAAACAGGGTTTTACCATGCTGGTCAGGTTGGTCTTGAACTCCTGACTTCATGATCCACCCGCCTCAGTGCTGGGCTTACAGGCGTGAGCCATTGTGCCCAGCCTAGATTTTTAAAGAATCCCACAGCATATGACACAGTCTAAGTGATAAATGAAATAAAGAAGAAAGGAAGATAGGAAGCGGGCCAACAGAAAAAAATGTAGGTCTAGCAAAATTCTTTAATATGCTTTGTATAGTATTCTCCCAAATTACAACAGTAATAATGTGGGGGAAATGAGAAGCATTATATTCTACCTTGGTGGCATCTGCTTCTTTGAAAATCATATACGGTTCTGCACACTCTCCAATGTCTCCTTGCTGTAGGACTTTTTCTAGCTGTCAAAGGCAAAAAAAGTTGAGATTCAGCTTCAAAAAGCCTGAAATTCAAGGATGGTTCAATATACGAAAACCAATATAACACATTAACAGAATGACAGAAAAAAATACATGACATCTCAATTGATGTAGAACATTAGATAAAATTCAGTACCTTTTCATGGCAGAAACACTCAACAAACTAGAAATGCAAAGAAACTACCTCAACATAATAAAGGCTAACATCACACTTAACAGTTAAAGACTGAAAGCTTTTCCTCTAAGATCATGAATGAGACAAGGATGCCCACTTTAGCTTCACCTGTTCAGCATAGTAATGGAAGCCCAAGCCTGAGAACTAAACAAGAAAAATAAGTAAAGCATCTGAATTGGAAAGGAAGAAATAAAATTATGTCTGCAAATGCTATGATCTTTTATATAAAAAAACTTTAAAGATTCCACACCAAAAAAAACTGTTAGAACTAGTAAATGAATTCAACAAAGTTACAGGATACAAAATCTACATACTAACAATAAGGAATCCAAAAAGGAACTTTAAAAAAATTTTTCATTTATAGTACCATCAAAAAGAGAAAATACTTACAAATAAACTTAACCAAGGATGTAAAGGATCTACACACACTGAAGACTACAAAACATGGCTGAGAGAAATTAAAGTAGACACAAATAAATGAAAAGACATCCTGTGTTCATGGATTGAAAAGATTTGCTATCATTAAGATGTCAACACTACCCAAGGCAATCTATAAGTTTAATGCAATCTCTATCAAAATCCAATGATTTTTTTTTTTTTTTGCAGAAATAGAAAAACCTATCCTAGAATTCATAGGGAATCTCAAGAGACCCTGAATAATCAAAGCAAATTTAGGGAAAAAAGAACAAAGTTGAAAGTCTCATACTTCCTAATATGAAAAGTTATTTAAAAACTACAATAATCAAAACAGATATAAGCCCTATATATTCCTATTAGCTCTATTTCACTGAAGAATTCTAATACAGAGTTCAAGAAAAATTAGGTAGCACCTACAGTGTATGTCCAATATTGTGTTAAAGAATATCAAGATGAAAAAAAAAAAAAAAATTCTTGCCCTTGAAAAGTTTACAATACTGACACTACAAAATAAACAAATATATTTAACATTATTCTCACCTTTATTACAAGAAAAACATCTTGGGAAGGATAAGTGATAGAAAAAATTGCTGATCTTGCCAGGGTGGTAATGGCAGCAGGTGGTACATGTGGACGTAACAATCCTTTCATTTGCTCAGAATTAAGGTCAAAATAAAAGTTTTCTGAAATCTAAAAAATATTAATATGTTAAATTTAAAAATCTGTACATTTTACAGAATCTTTTCTATTTCTTTCTATTTCTTAAATTAAAAGAAAGTTGCTTCTGCTACTACTTGCTTTTAGAATTCTTTCAATGAAACAATAAACTGTTTTCAATTACAGTAATTATAAGAAAACATTTAACTCATCCTAATAAATTTCTATGTTTTTAAAAATCATGTTAAATAATTCTCAAATCACTACTTATTTATCTACAGATTGTAGGATATTATACTATAATGTAAAGTTTATATTTCACTTAGACCAATCTTTACATACCTAAATCAAAGTAAAAGAAGTATACAACAAAATAAGAAAAAAATAATAGAAGAAAAAAAGAAGTATACAAGCCATTTGGTAAATAAACATTCTAAACCACCATATTCCAAATTCCTTTAATTAAAAATGTAACTTCTAATAAAGTATACAAAGAAATTATCACTATAATGATGGATTCCAAATTGTTTTTAAAAAATTATATGAATAATATCTCAGCAGTTTCAAGTTAGCAAATACAAGTTGCTAGAGCCGAATTCCGTTAAAGAAATCCATAATATGTCTTGTGTTGGCAGCAGAAGTCACTGAAGGCATTTCAAGTTTCTTTTTTTTTTTTAATTTCAAATTGTTTTTAGTAGCAACGGGGCGGGGAAGGGAGTCTCACTATGTTGCCCGGGTTGGTCTTGAACTCCTGGCCTCAAGCAATCCTCCCACTTTGGCCTGCCAAAGCGCTATGACTACAGATGTGAGCCATAAGCACCCAGCCAGCACTTTGAATTTCTACTATATATTAAGTCTTAGCATATTAAATTAAGAAATGGTGTAAGATAAACTTCTGATTTAATAAATATATTATGATAAAACTAAGACCATTAAAATAGAATATTTAAAACACACAAAAATGATCTTTTAGCTGGTGAGAATTTGAAAATCATGTCAATAAAAATTCACTGTCATTGTCATTCATATCTTTATGTACCGCCTGCCTAAAGTGCTTTTCTCATATTCTTTTCTATTTCTTAAAGTTGCTTCTACGCTTTGCTTTTAGAACTCTTTCAGTGAAACAATAACCTGTTTTCAATTACAGTAATTTATAATAAGAAAATATTTAGCTAGTCCTAATAAAGTGAATTTCTATTTCCTTTTTAAAAAGATCTATGTTTAATAATTCTCAAAAAAAATCAATCTTATAAAACAAACAGGTTTCTGAAACCTATGATTATGACAAATGACTATGGTAAAATTATGTAATTTTACCTTTTTCTTTTCCTTGACATCATATAAAGCCAAACTCGCAAAAATGGGTTCAATTTCAATTTCAAACCTTTATGAAGAAAAAGACAAAATAATTTAAAAATAAATATAAAACACACAGTTGGAGAGAAACTGATTCCAAAACTAAATTAACACAATATCTGGCACTTTTCTACACCTTTGCCAGTATCAGTACTTCTTTCTGAAATACATTCTTCTATGCATATCACTCAGGGTCTTAAATCAACCTTATCTCCTCTATTTAATCCTAATTAATTTATCCAGCTACAAATAAACTTAAATTGCCTAAAAGCCTAATGACATATTATGCCCATCCTGAGGCACTAATCACTCTCTCACGTGGTCATTTATACATGTAGGTGTGTTCATTTTTAAATAAGTTTTAAAGATAAAAGCCTAATATTTTCTTTTTCAACTATAACTTTTGGATTATAAATATTGTAAAATTCAACGCAACAATCTTAGAAAACACGTTACAATATTCAAAGGAAAATGGGAGCATCCAAAGAATCATAATTAACAGTTTAATGCCTAATCCATCTAGACTTTATGTATAAATGTACTTGTTAAATGAATTTTTGTAAATGAAGAGTGTCACAGTATACATTACACTTTGTAGTCTGCCTTTTTAACTTAACATTTATGGACAAATTTCCATGCTATAAATATTATTCTTACCATCATCTTTACTGCTGGCATAGTAATTCCTATTAAATGAATATAGCAAAATTGTATACTTAAGACGTCTAATTCATTTCTAAGAACAATGACTTACATACAATAAACATCTAGTAAATACCTGTTGAATGAAATAATATATAATGTGAGGTTAACTAAAACTCTAGAGTAGATGTTCTCAATCAAGGACAATTTTGTCCCAAAGGGAACATTTGGTAATACCTACATACATTTTTGGTTATCAGAACTACAGGAGTATTACTGTCATTTAGCAGCTAGAAGTCAGAGATGTGACTAAACATCCGACACTGTACAGGACAGTCCCTGACAACAAAGAACCATCTAGACAAAAATGTCAACAGTGCTGATGTTGTAATACCCTGCTCCACACTGCATACGTTTGTATTATAAGAGAATTGAGGACCTTGTAGAAAATACCCGTTTATATTAGGGTGAGGGTTTAATAAAGGGCCATTTACAAGGATTTGGACAAGATCTTGAGAAAACAACTACAGAGTGCCATTCTCTGGGGCTAGGAAAAGCAAGAGTCATTACCAACCATAGAACAAAAAAGAGAACATGGAAGTAATAACCAAAAACTAGAAAGGATAGCTATACCCAAGGTCCTTCACAGAAACTGACCTTGGAAAGAAAGAGGGCAACAGATCTAAGTGACTCAGCAGGGAAGGAGTTAGGGAAATGAACATCCCATCTGATCTCACTCTCTTCTACCCTCCAACTTCCTGCTGCTACATCCCTTAGTAAAACCCAACTAGAAGTTAAATGAAAAGAGATCTTTGTGATCCTGTCCGCGTTTATCAACTTCTACAAAACCTGCTCTGTATGCTTTTGATACTGTTGGTCTATTTATTTGGCCAATTCAGTAAATAAGCAGTATCCCACTGGATTTTTCATAGGAATCTTTTCATGTATTCACTGACCATTTGGATATCCTCTGACGGCCCATTTTTCTATTTATTGACTCTTTCCTCATAAATCTGTAGTTCCTTATGCATTCTGGAAATGAGCATACAGCCAAGTATTGTGTGTTGGAAATACCTTCTCCTTCTCTATAATTTATCTTCTCTTATGTCTTTTGATGAACAAAAGTTATCCATTTTAATGAAGCAAAATGTGTCAATGTTTTCTTCTAAGGGTAGTGCTTTCTGTGTTATATAAAGAAATCTTGTTCTTTCTATAGCCTGAAATTATCTTCTAGAAACTTTACCATTTTGTCTTTTATATTTGTATCTACTATAAATCTGTAAAAAAAAATTTGTGTATGATGTGAGGTAGTGGACAAGTTCCCTATTTTCATATATATATATGAAAATATATATATACACACATATGTGTGTGTATGTATGTGTGTGTGTGTGTGTGTGTATATATATATATATATATATATATATGAGAGAAACACATATATAGAGAGACAGACAGACAGACACAAAGAGAGAAAAGCAGGGAGGAGGAATAGATATCCAACTGTCCTGCTAATTTACTGAAAGGATTACCCTTTCCATACCCTTTACATTTTTCCATATAAAAAATGTCCACTGTTATTACAAATCAAAAATGCATAAATATGTGGGCCTTTTTTTAGCTCATTTTTTTAGTTGAAGTAATAAATGTTTGATCAATGAAGTTTACATATTATTAACAGCATTCATTTGGCCAAACATCTACATGTTTGTAGAATACTACTGTATATAAAGTAGGAATATATCAAGTACAGACTTTTCTAGCTCTTTCATCTATTCCAGTGCTCTAGCTATCTAATCATGTACCAATACTGTACTGTCTTAATTACATAGTTTCATACTAGTCTTGATATCTGGTTGGATGCTTTTAATAAAGGTCTTCAAAACTGTCGTGCCTCTTTTGGCCCTTTGCATTTTCAAATAAATTTTAGATTCAGCTAAAAAGAAACAAAAGCAGATCGAAGGTAAATGAACGTTAATTTACTTATTCAGAAAATTAGAGTCCACGGTGGGAGAATCGCTTGGAGCCAGGAGTTCATGACCAGCCTGTGAAACTAACCAAGATCCCATTTATAATTTGTAAAAAAAAATTTATAAGAAAGAAAATTAGTATCCCGATGTATAATTTAGTGCCATAAAATTCAGGTATAATAACTCTATAATACTTTTTTTTTTGAGACGGAGTCTGGCTCTGTCGCCCAGGCTAGAGGGCAGTGGTGCGGTCTCAGCTCACTGCAACCTCCACCTCCCAGGTTCAAGCAATTCTCCTGCCTCAGCCTCCCAAGTAGCTGCGATTACAGGCATGCACCACCATGCCCACCTAATTTTTATATTTTTAGTAGAGACGGGGGTTTCGCAATGTTGGCCAGGTTGGTCTCAAACTCCTGATCTCAGGTGATCCGCCCGTCTTGGCCTCCCAAAGTGCTGGGATTACAGGTATGAGCCACCGCACCCAGCCAATAACTTTAAAATATTCTTAAACAGCATTTAAAGATCCATATTATTACTACGATGAACAAATGGTAGTACACTGGAGAAAATAAACTAAAGAAACCAACACAAATCCAGATAAGAATTTATAAATTCGACAAGAATTTATAAATTAGATACATTTTATTTTTTAAGTTTCAAAAGGTTCTTCCATTACACAGAGACTGCCAAAAATGTATATGTAGAATTTTTCCTTTAAAAAAAAAAAAAAAGGATATTCCTCATGCATTCAGTACACAATGTGAGTTAGTAACTTAAAAAAAAAAATGAATGCTACATTATTTCTATACTATCAAACACAGGCATGTTTCAAGAAATGCTACTTGAGGACCAGCAATACTCAGTGGCTACTGTACTGCAAAAAGGTATTTTTTATTCACTATAATGTACCACTCTACATATTCACTTATTTAAAATGTTAAGAATACCAAAAACAATGAAAGAAAAAACAGTTTTTAATCACCAAAGGCTTATCGTAAGACATTACTAATAAGATATGACTTACTTGTTAGGCTTTATAAAAATTAAGTGTGTGTATTTGTTCCCTTTAATTTATTTGATTCTGATCACAAAATACAGGGAAAGAGCAAGGGCAATGCCTATAACAACCCCTTGGTCACATACATTCCCAGTCTATGCATCTATAAATAACCTTTGTACAACAGCAAATTCATGCTCTCCCCCAAGCGTTGTTTCACATTCTAACATCTTCAGAGTATAGTACGTGACCAGGTGGGAAGTTAAAACAGATGCCTATTCACAAGGTAGAGTTCCCCTCCACATACTGTTCCAGCTCCCTTTTGCCACTACTGAAAACAAAGTAGCTGGTTGTTCTCATTACTGATCTTCTAAAATTCTTTCATGAACAAGTAGGACATAGACAAATTATGTCTGCACAATTCTTAGAGGGGCTTAAAGTAACCTTATAGAAAGGCAGTGACTAAGGTCTGTTCCTTGCCCCCAGCTTCGTAAGTCCCAGGCTGCCTGTGGCACCTGGACTGCCTCTCCTGGGTCTCCAACACCCCAGGGCAGCAATGAAGGAAAGGCAGGCGAGGCCAAGCATGAGGAATAAACAGTCTTTACTGGGCTCAGACCAGGAGTCCATGGGTCTTGAGGATCTCTGTGTTGTCAATTTTCTTCTCCATGTTCTCTTTGGCCTGTTTCTGTAGCCTCATGAGCTGTCTTTTCTTCCAGTAGTGGATCTTAGTCTTTTCCTTCCTCTTCTCCTCCAGGGTAGCTGTCACTGCCTGGTACTACCTCCACATCATGAGCCAGGAGCCCCAGGTAGGCAAACTTTCTCACAGGCTTCAGGCCTACGACCTTGAGGGCAGCAGAAACCACCAGCCACTTTTTTTTGTCATAGGAGAATGGGATCCCATCAAACATCTTGAGGTGGTCCAAAGTAGCCTGGCCTCACTTGATCTTGTGGGGCAGCATGCTTTACATGGTCCACCAAAAGAGGTGGCTGGGGGCTTGGAAATGGTAGAGGCCTCAGAAAGGATTGGTGTTCATCTACTTGCAAAGGAAGGCCAGGTACTTTAACTTGTTTCTGTAGAAATTGCCAGAAATGCTGATGCCCTCGCAACACATGATCATCACCTTCCAGTCCAGCAGTACCTGCTTGACCACAATGGCCTCTGGGCAACCCAGGAGATGGCCTTGACCTCAAGCACCAGGACCTTCCCCCTCCCAACTTCGGCAGCCTCCTGGAAAAGGCTAAATGGGGTGTGTTTTCACATTTGCTTACAAACAATTATAATACAGTTTTGAACATTTTATCAATATGTGTTGACTCTCTATTCCGACTTAGAAGTCAATTTTGTAAGAAAACATTGTTCTAATGCTTTCATTTGGTTAATATTTGTCATTAAATCTTAATATATATTTTTACTTTCAA